AGGAACGTACTGACTTGATGGAGGCATTTGTGAAGATGAGATCGATGGTGCTCTTCCCATTGTGGCAGAGGTAAGTTGGGGTTATGGGGTCATTCACCATGGTATATCCTGAGGCAAAGAGAAGGTTCTGTAGAGCCTCGCCTTTATCAGAGAGGATATCTGACCGGGCATTGAAGTCCCCAGTTAAGATTGTTGGTAATTCTTGGTTGATATTCTCCAGCGCTCTTAGTACCACTTCCAACATCTCCTCTACTTCGCACTGGGGCTGCACATAGCAGCATACCAGGTTGCACACCTTAGTTTGAACGACCACGTATGATTCGCTCTTGTGGATGGTTCCATGAAAGGTTTCACAGCAATTGTGATACCACCTGATGGACGCCCTCTCCTCGCTCTCTTCATTGCTGGTGAGTTGAATGCATATAAGCCATTCAACTCGACTGGTTCTCCTGCAAAGGTTTCCGTGAGTAGAATGACATCGTGCTTGGAGAATACATCTTCCGGGCTAAGCTTCAGGATGGATTTCAGGCCCTCCACGTTCCATAGTAGCGAGCTGAACAGGGTACTATGTTGTGAGGTTTTCTTCCGTTGGGTTTCTCTTCCGGCTCGTACGCCTCGGTGGGCCTTTCGCTGGCTGACCCTTGCGCCCCTCGCTCGTAAGCCTAGTCCTGACGACGGGTCGGTGTTCTCCCCACCAGGTGGTTTCCGTAGGCCTAGGTCTCCGATAATCCCATGTACTTTTGGGTCTATCTGCGTGTGTGCTTAGAGAGTTATGGAGAATAGGATGTCCCTACCATATCTTAGTGAGTTCACACGTGAGATCAGGAGGAGCAGAATCGCACATAACGTAAAATTTCTTGAGAGAGAAAAACGAGTGGGAGTCGCCATCTTCGTGGCGCGCTCGACCCCCTGGAAGCATGCCAAACAAGAGAGGAAGTTCAACAGCTGCCCAATAAACCTCGAGAAATGGGTGCATCACTTCTCCCTGGTGCTAAACCCAGACAACACGGACCTGGACTTCAGTGACATCAAACTCTTCTCCCATGTCGACTGCGGGGTGTGGTACAATCAGCCCTTCACTGAGGAAGAAGTTTCAACTGCTATCCTCTCCACACCTGACAAGAAAGCCATGGGGCCAGATGGCATTGCCTATGTCGTGTACTTCCCCAGGGATAGTACATATCGTTTGGACACCTGACGGTATATGTTGACGACAGATCTATGTCCAGTTCACCGTGTTCTAACCTTCTGACCCATAGACTTCCACAATATGTTCCCCTTAGGAGCCCAGGAGGACGCAAACAACTACCGGGGGATTGCACTTCTAGGGAATCCCTACAAGGTGCTGACAAAAATGATAGCACAACGCTTATCCATATATACTCAATACTCTCTTCCTGATGAGCAGTATGGATTTAGGAAAAAGAGAGCCACCACAAATGCCATCAGTGTGCTCAACAGGGATATTCACCATCAACTCTCGAGGAAAGGTCAAGTACTCTTTGCTGTCTTCGTTGACTTCAAAAAGGCCTTCGATTCAGTGAACAGACATCACCTCATCCAAAAGCTAGTACACCACTTCAGTATCAGAGGTCCCCTACTCAAGCTCATCTGTAGTATCCTCAGCGCAAATGAGGTGGTTGTGGACGATGGACTCAGGAAGACAAGACCCATCAAACAGACACGTGGAGTTCCTCAAGGGGACTCACTGAGCCCCCTACTATTCATCCTACTATCACATGACCTTCCAGCCTCTATCAAGAGGAGCTGCACATCTCTCAAGGTATTAATGTACGCTGATGATGTGGTATTCTACTCAGCTGCCCGTACAGCCATCCAGAAAGGCCTTGAGGCACTTGAGAGATGGTCATCCAATAACCATCTGGAAGTAAACACCACCAAGACCAAGGAATACTTCAAGGCGGCTCCACCCTCTGACCGTGCCCTACTGGTTAAGGTCAAGTCCCCTGTCCGGAACCTTTAGTGATTAAGGATGCTTATGGATCCTCACTATAAGGTTTGTTGTCCGACGAAGTGCAAACACATACAGTCAAAGGTACAGAAATGTGCCAGCGCCACATTCTCAATCAAGAACCTTCAAAAACTCTCCCTCGGTGCAGCTCTGAAACTCCTTGCAATAAAGATCCAACCCATCCTAATTTATGCTATCCCAACCAAATGGGAACATCTGACAGCTGCCAATTTACACAGCATGGACAGGGTAAAAGCCATATATCTTAAGAGAGTGCTGGGATTACCAAGGAATGCCCAAAACAGGTTGGTCTACCTGATGGCGGGAACAAAATCCCTCATGGAGGAGGTTGCCTGGGATTTTAACCTCCCTCCCACTTCAAATTTCCAGGCATATTTGGAAGAAGTCCAAGATAAGTGGTCCCACATCCCATCTGAATTTAGGTCTTCCCCAGGGATGACCCAACAACATTGGAAGGAGTGTAACTCGGGAAACAGACACCTAGTAACCCGAGTATCAATACATGGGTTCCACTTCAAACTCTGCAAAAGACCAGATTTCCATTCTCCAATGCCAGACTGCATTTGCTCCTTATGTAGTGGATGTGCATCCCATCTCTACCATCTATTACAATGTCCAGGGAACACAAAATCCCTCAAAGCATGGGATATCAGTGAATAACTGCTACCGCACATGTGTGATTTTCAACCCTATCTGCTCCTTCATGATTGTCCTATTGTGATCTCTATTGACCTCTATTGTGATCTCCTTCTCTACCTCCACCTTGGTGCAATAAATAAATAATAATACAATATGGAGAAGCTTCAAGAAGTGGCCCACGTCATAGGTAATATTTCGTTCCAAATAGATTCTCTCATGTTTAGATGTTTCTGTCATCAAAATAGGAACACTTTTTCTTTGGCTTCTATATCTATATTTCCCTTCTATTCAGCTTTTGGCTTTTTAAGCCCAAGTACCAGACGGCGTTTAAAAAACGACCTAAGATTTTTGCATTACTTCTCAACATCAAGATACGGCAGAGACCTACAAATCCTACCTAGAATACATCAATCTTGCCTTTTAGTATGCAAACCATGAATTTATCACTGCCAGAGTATACTCAGCAGCCGTTCGACTGGGGCATCTCGAAAATCTTACTTCATGCCTAATCTTATCCGAAAAGATGCGGAACGGGTCCTCCTTCCGTGTTGTGGGACGTAATCTCGTTTTATCCGATGAACTTGCAGGTCTCCTCCACGGTCATCTCATTCCAGGCATTTGGAATCCCGCTCTCCATTCGGCAACGGAGTCATCCACGTTGGATCGCTCGACCCACCATCTGGTCTTTTAGCAGGAAAAAAGACGTCAGCTTGACGGCTTGACTTGCGCAGCTGACCTTCCAAAATTTTAACATGATACATTCATCGAAATCTTTTCGAAATCTTCCATTATATCACCATCCCATAGGGGGATTCCAAATCATCTGGATTAGCTGCCAATGCTTCTATCATATTGTTTACCCCTTAGGAAAAAGAGAATCATCAATACACCCGCAGAAATAGTTTCAATTCAGTCCATGTATAGTAAGAAAAAAATCAACGTCAATAAGCTTCGAAGTGGAATTCTTCTAATTGCTTTCGCTAAACCCGCCGGTTAAGCGAGATTCTGTCCCTCCCTAGGGAGATTCGAAATCCCCCTGAATTCCACAAAAACCTACGAAATGTATATACATAGACCTCTTTTCTTTTAAGTACTCCCCCTGCAATGGAACACCCTTCTTCCAACGTTGCACCCATGCATCAAACGCTTCCTGTAGACCTTTCCATGAGAACCAAATTAACTTCGTTGTCACAGCTTTCTTAACCTCATCTTCCGTCGTGAAGTGTTTTCCCTTGAGCGATTTCTTCAGGCGCTGGAATAACCAGAAATCAAAGGTTACAAGGTCCAGCGTGTATGACGGGTGCGGTGAAACTTCTGCCCCGATCGTCCTCGTGGCGTCGATTCCATTAGAGGCGACATGCCGGCGAGCATTGTCATGGTACAGGAACCAGAAGGTCTGCAATAGCTCTTGTCTCTTCTGGCGGATCGCTGTTCTTTGCTTAGAATGTCAGGATGAGTCTCCGTATTCACCGTCGTCTCATGTGGCTTAAAGTGCGTCAGGATTATCCCTTTGCAATCAAAGATGATCGTCATCACTTTGCCCGCCGATTTCGAGGTGCGGAACTTCTTGGGGTGAGAGGAAGAAGGATTTTTCCATCCAGGAAACCAGTGCCTATTCCACTCCTTTCAGTTGTGCTTTTGCATTTCCCATACTGTGCACTATTTGCACATTTGCAACATTAGGCTATTTGTTCAAGATATCAACTTGACATCACATGCACAAGGCAGGCTTGCAAGCCTGCCTTGTGCATGTGAAGAAAGTAGATAGATAAAGAAGCTATGTTGATGGCACATCCTTACTGGCAACCTAGGCATCGTCGAAAACGCCAAATTCGGGGATCTCTTTAGAAAAGGCAGTAAATATAGAATCAACAGGACACTAATTAAGGAGGTGTTTTTCAACAGTTTTTGACATCATTAGACAAGTTCAATCAAATGCGCATCTTCTAAAACCGGAATTCCTCCAAAGGCCTTTCTGGAATGGAAAATTCAGGGCGTGTTAGACTTTTACTACGCCAATTCATTCCAAAAAACTCTGGAAACTTTTTTGACGTGAGTCAAACGGAATTTGATGCAGCCATAATTAAACTTCATGAGAATTTGTCATTATCGTAATTGATGAGGCAAGGAATAGTTTATGCTTCATTTGTAAAGGATTATACGGGATTGGTTATGAACAAAGAAAACGCTGAAAGCCCAACTCCTATGAACAAGTTCATGAGGGTGAAAATAAAATTTTTGAGTCGTCTCATGAGAATTAACAATAAATCCAATGAAATTGTTTTTTCTATTCGCTAATCCTCAGTTTCGTGAAACTCCCTTTAAATGGGGCTTCATTGCTGATTCAGTTGGTACTCATTTCAAAGGGTCTTCTCTTCCTTTGAATGGCATCAGCTTGGTGAGAAGATTGAGCTAAGGTCTAAAACATGCCACTGTTTCTGGATTGTTAAAAGTGACGGCAAAGTATTACTTGCCATCAAGGATCTCAATGAATCCCCAAAAAAAGCTGATTCCATTATGTCACGGGGCTTCTCTACGTTGTAAACAGAAATACATTCGGACTTTTTATTTTAAAGCATTCTTGAGGTATTTGAAAACTTTGCAGGAGCAGAATTTACTTTTAAATATACTTTCGTGAGCAAGGACTCCTTTTCTGCCCTACTGAAATGCTGCTTAGAAAAAAAAATTATATCCAAATTGGAGCTAAAATCTTTAGGCAAAAAAAATCAGAATTCCGATCGGCAGCAACTATTCCACTAGTACGGCGAATCTCTTCTTTATGACGAAGCAAAGCACATGGATGAAACTACTAACTCGAAAGTGTGCCTCTTTACCTTCCGGTATATCGACGACTGAACAGCCATTAACAGCTCTTCAATTCAGGCAGAAATTGAGAATGTTCATCCGGATTGCCGTGAATTAGAGGACCCAATTTCACCTCCATATAAAAAGGACCATTCATAGATTCATGTGGCAGTCGATGACAGTAAAATTGCTTTGTCACTGATATTTATGATTAAAGAAGGAACTTACTTAGGAAAGAAGTACGATCTGGAATATTCTCCTGAAGGGTGCAATTTCTCTGCAGTATGTAGTAAATTTTTTCGGGTTCCAGAAGCTACCGTGCATGCAGCTCGGACGTGCGACTCTCGCAGCGCTGATGTGACTGCAGCACCGACCCCGGGGCATTTGAACATTTTCCAGTGAATGGGGTCTTTCCTATATCGTTTTAGTGTCTGTCCTAGAGACTAGCTTATCCAGTTTGTCGGGCTTGGGCCTATTGGCAGGGCCTGCAGGTAGCAAGAGCAATCTGGGCATCGCTCCAATATGTCAGTGGAGGAGGCAATTAAATGAATGCATAATAGGGCCTTTCTCAAAGCTACACATTTTCTTTCATCGGCTTGTGTCACACCAAGCCTTGTCTTCTTTTCCATTTCTTGCTTGAGTCATTCCAAGCTTCGTTTCTTCCATAGACTAGAGTCTACGTGCATTCCAGTTGTGAGGCTAATCAAGCTCATCGATCGTTAACTGTAGCACTGACAGATGGACTTTAACTTCACCCCAATTGTGCAAGATATTTGCAATATCTTCTTCAGATTTCAGATTTTAAACAATCTATTCTGAGCTACTATGTTCAGAAGCGGAGCATTTTCTACTGCCCTCGGGTGGTTTTAGCCATATACTGGTATTTGGCCTATTGTCTATTCAGTGAATATATTTGTTTTCAATCTTAGGCTCATGAATATAACACCTGCTGTCTAATACTGTTGAAGAATTTACTTCGCATTCAGCAGCTTATGATATACATGGCTATTGTGGTTTGCCGGGGTGCTAGCTTTTATGTATAGTGTATGATAGGGTACTTATATTATAGTCAGTTCACATATCGAGTGCTGCTTCACGTTCTGGAAATCCTCCAACAGATAAGGAATTTAGTGTTGAGACCTGCATCATTCAAGCTGACTTCACGAAGCTGGATATCTACGAGGGGATAAAAGAAAAGCTAGCGAGCCTGGGCATCGGAGTGCTGGTGAACAACGTGGGAATGGCAATTAATATTTCACCCTTCTTAGACGTCCCCGGAGGGGAAATGACGTACCAGGACATGCTCCTTGTCAACAACCTGTCCATGATCCGGATGATCCACATGGTCCTCCTTGGTCAAGAAAAGAAAGGGGATTCTCATCAATGTTTCCTCTCTTTCTGCCCTCTACCCTTCTCCTTTCCTGGCAACCTACGCGGCAGGGAAGGTTTATTTTGGACAACCTTTACAAAAAAGCCATCTGAGGCATAACAAAATGCAAAACACCGAACTAAGCAAAAATGATTGTGCTATATTTATAAAGAACCTAATTTTTTCCTTGATGAATAAGTATATGCCTTTAATCTTTTCCTTGGCAAGGTAAATTTCGTCCACGTGTTATAAGTTGAATTTAAGGATTTCGACGAGTCTCCTTAATTTGTCAGCATAGACAGTTTGGAATAAGACAGATATCATTTTATAAATAATGACCTCAGCCACATACCCATGGAAAATTCCTGGAAATATTGCAACATATTCGTTGTGTTTGTCAGTGAACCCAACATACTAGGTAAAATTCAGGCGCCCGCGGAGCAAGGTGACCTATGCTCCCTACGTTGCATGAAAGAAGATTACACTCTATGACTTACAGCTTGAATGTACTATCCTGCTAGCAAGCTATGACTCATTACTTCTTCCTTCCAGGCGTTTGTGGACAGCTTTTCTCGGAGTCTTGCCTACGAGTACAAAGACAAAGGGATTGATGTCCATCTCGTCGGCCCTGGGTCAGTTTTCTTCATTCAGGGACGTTCAAATAAATCGATTTTCCATTCCTTTCAAAAATATTCTCTTACAACTGAACCAAAAAATAAATTATTTGTTGAGGTGTCTCTGAGTATGATGGCCAACTCTTCAGAGTTTACTGCCGGAATCAGAGTGATTTCGCATTGCGAAAGGTCGTGTAATTAGGTATTTTTCATGCAGGTTAGTGTACACGAAGATGACAGATAAAGTGCTGGATGGACCTGATTTGACAGCACCGATGCCGGATACCTTTGTCCAATCCGATCTTCGTTCCATCACTAAAATCCAAGTTACCTCCGGTTATTGGTTTCATAACCTCCTGGTGAGACCTGAAACCTCAAATGACAATCATTTTAGTCTTTTAAAGAAATGTAACCATTTGGACTTCATGAACTTCTTTAAGTTTTCGTCGATGATAATTTGTCACTGTGTTGCGAAAAGAACTTTGTCTTCTGGAAAATGATAAGAATAGGTGGGAAAGAGCAGGCTTGCCTTGCTCTTTGAAGAATGAAAACTGAAGAAAAAAAATTGGGCTCCAGAAAGAAGAGTTTTCCACTCTTTAAGAAAATGCGATGAACTAAAGACTTGGGATACAGCAGTGTACCTTGAAAAACGAAAGAAGAGAACAACGACATTCTCGTCATCCATTCCCTTCATTAAAAAAAAAAGTAGTTGTCCATTTTGAATGTTAGAAGTGTTATATAATTTCACACAAACATTGATTTGATTTGGTTGAGGTGGCAGCTTTGTTGACTTCCGCATAAATGAAGACAAGCTAAATCCTCTTAAAAATTGGTGAGATATCACTTCTGAGAAATCATTAGGTACACTTGAAATTGTTGGGCTTTTTTGCCCTACAATGCAGACTCCGGCTGACGTAAACCATGGGAAATTCTAAATGAACTTGGAGAAAACCCAGGATTTGTACTAATCGGTTCATCAACTACTCATTCGGAATAAATTGATGAATACCATCCCCCCAGGAACGACCACCCCATAGGATGAACTCCACGCAGGGGTTCAGCGTGGTCTCCATCACTGGGAGAGGACAGCGAGAGAGTTCATCCCCCCCCCCCCCCCCCCCCCCCCCCCCCCACCCCCCGCCACAGCGTGGTCTCCATCACTGGGAGAGGACAGCGAGAGAGTTCCCCCCCCCCCCCCCCCATGGCCCCATGGTCCACGCAAGCCTTCGCTCATTCACGTCACCCTACCTCAGCAGCGCAAGGGCAGCCAACCACGTGACACGGTTGTCTCATTTTTTCCTTACATATTTTGTAAATGCGAGAAATGTGACGTTGTTGTATCTGAAATTTTAAAATTAATATTCTAAGAATAAGACATCTGAGTAAGCCATGTGTCTGAGCATGGAAGGTCACGTCGACGGACCACGCCCATCATCCCGATTCGATTCATTCGTCAGCATGCGAAGAAACATGAGATACATGCTCACTCCTTTAATACGCCTCCAACTATCCATTGCTGTATCGTCGATCGAATATTGAGCACGGAGATACGGCAAATCATTCGTACCGATGTCGGCTTATGGTAAATGAGGTACTAAACGTAGTATAAATCGTAATTCTATATATCCCAAAAGCAATGGACAATCAAAATAGCTAATAGGAGCTACTTTGACTATCTTCCGTCAGCTGACGGAAGATGATGGCAAGAAAGTTCATTCTCGCGAATATTACCATATATTACGACCCGAAGGAATTATAATGATTTTGCATTGCGCACGAACGCCATACATGTTCTCAGCGAAAAAAAAATCCTTATTTTACAAATCATTTTTTACGTTGCACAATTACAGCCTAAGAAAAGCCAATTACACTCTGTGTCCCTGTGGTGCATCTAGTTCTTTTCTACACTGGAAGCCATTTTCATTTGTGCCAGAACAATTTTTCAGTGCTTGCGTTGCCCAGAAAATCCACACCCTGAATACCACAGAAGGCCATCGGTATCTCACTTCCTGAAATCGGTCCAGCAAAAATGGGTGGATGAGTTGCGAAGAGGGGGAGGACGTAAGACACCTGTACTCTCGGGAGGTCATAAGTATTCCTTATTTGCAGAAAATACTGTGATTTACGAATAGTCAACGTTTTGTTACTGCTAATTCTTCGTTTATCTGTGAGCTTCAACTATGTTCCAACTTTTCTGCCCACTGTCAATGTTAATACAACGACCCAAGCAGCATGTTCACGTAAACAAGGAAGCAGTAGGTCACTTTGGTACTCTTAGAGTGCTGGTGAGGATGAGTACTCATGTACTCGTCCAACCACCCTAGAGTTCTGAAGAACGTAAAGGAATAGGAGATTCAGTACATCAATTCTCTTCTTTGGTATGCCGACACAGTTCCTGCTGCATGTTGTCAGCGGAAGTCCGGCAGAGTGGAAAGAGGAGTTTCTTATTGCTCCGACATGGAAGCACGGGGTGATAGAGACCTCTAGGAGGGAGAATGAGGCATTTAATGAAACCAAAGTAGGCTCTGATGTCTTGAAATTCCCTTGTAATGATGACAGGGTGGCCTACAGGATACTCACAGTATTTGTTCGTGATACCTATCTCTCTACACTTCAGTTATATAAACTGAAAGAGTAAAGGGAAGTGAAGTATGAAGTTATGTCGACGTAACCAAGAGGGACCATAGAAGGCCTCCCGACAAACAAGTCGGGACACGACTTCATGTCGTGCCAGAAACTGCTTCACAGCATTTTCCTTCTTCCTTTCCTTCCACTCACACTCCCAGATGCTGACTCTATGAAATCAACGACCTCATACCGGAACCTGCTCGTGGCGTTCCGATTGGGAGTGAGGCAAAAAGTGAGGGCAGGAGCCGGAATGCTCCTCTCGTGCTCGATCGCTAAGAACGTCGTCTTCGGTGCCTCACAGTACCTCAAGGTGAGCTGGCTCACCTGAAAAGGGGAGCTATTAAGACGACGAAATCCCCTGGAGACGGATATAACTTTTTCGAATTTACCGCAAATTCCAATAGGTGTCATAGATCAAGATTGACGGAAAATACTCATTTCTTTGAATATTCTGGTCCGATTTTTCTTTTTACTTTTTAGCACATAGGGGTGATTCCGGCCCATTTCAGTCAACATGACGGAAAAGGGTGGCACTACCATTTCGAATTTCCAGCTAATTAAATACATGAGGGAAAAGAAAACAAAGAACTTCAGATTCCAGTGATGAGTGAAATTTTCACAATCTCCCTGTCTTCAGAGCCCGTTGCCTCAGGCCTGTAGGGAAGGAGAAGTCTGAACATTGCCTTTCTGGAGAGGTTTCTTGTTTGTAATACCATCGTATGGAATAGTCCTCCAAGAAACCAGGCTGGCAATATGAACCGTCGATATTTCACAAATTGGAAAAGTAAAAGGACACAGATATGCAAGATATCGCTTCCGACATAGTGCCATGGCGCCTCTTTGGTTTCTGTCGATTGCCAGGCGAAATTCCTGTTTCACCTTTTAAATCATCGTAATTCATATCTCAAGGAATTCAAGGGCTTATTTCCCCAGTGATTCCCCCGTTGGAAATGATGACGGCGATGGTTCTAGAAGACAATAAGCCGAAGGGCCCATGAGGACATTTCTCATCCCTTGTTGCTGGTGTCTTTCGGAACGACATGATGGATGGAGTGAAATGTTGACAGTAAAATATCGACATTCACGTATTCATCCTTTAATTACCTCCAGGCTGCCTTTGGAACTAGAATAGTAAGCCATTCATGAGCTCATCTACAAGTTGCCATGGCAAACTGGAGTCAAGCATATGGACTTCTATAGTGGTTTTCATTTGGCCCCTTGACGAGAGTTATTTTTCTGTTTCATTAGTTTTATTTTATGGATAATCATAATGTTTTTTTTAATATCTCGCAGATTTGATATAGTTGTAAACCGGCAAAAAAAGTCATACTTGCAGTATTATAAGTTATAGGATATGACTCCCACAATGTGACTATCGTCATATGTGAGAGGGGCTAATGGACCGATTTCAGAACCACTCCATCGAGAAAAAGTGCAGATCGGAAGATTCCCTGGATAGGAAAAGGAAAGGAATTTCTGGGTGAAATGGCCCCACCCACATGGATTTTTCGTGTTTCAAAAACCTATAGGAAAGTCTATAGGTTTCCTATAGGACATTTCCGTAAGGGTAAGCTTGAAAGAAATATTAATTCCATACAGATTTAAGCCTAGACCTTTGTTTCATATCTGTGAATATCGGCATCTCCAGCGGATATTGGATATTACCTTGTCTGCCTCTGAAGCAGATTGAGTAGATTCAGATTCTTGAAGCAAAAATATTATAGGATTTTTATGGGAATATTATAGGGTTCTCATAGGATCCTATAGGAATTCTATAGGAATCCAATAAGATTTTCATGTTTCAAAAATCTAATAAGATCCTATAAGAATTTTCCCTAAGGGTGAATATGCTAAAGGTTGGGCCGATATCATTATGGATTGCGAAATTATGGGGAAAAGAAATAAGTTTTTTTAAAAAAAGAATATGAAGAATATCTTGCAGTAAAAAATATTCTAAAAATTAAGATAAGGACGTTCTACATTAATAAAATGTTGTATCTCAGCAGTCAGAAATAATTATTGGGCATGCATGTCAAAACCAGCGACGATCCACCAGCTCCCAGGCGAGTAAGCAATACCAATAGTCGAGTCTAGTCTCTGTCCTCGAAGTCAACTTCTGTGTATAAGAAGAAACTTAAAATAAATGGATAAAATGACCATTCTCGACCGGAAATCTACGAATGTCGCTCATAAATGGCGCAATGGTGGCTCCGATCAGAAGCAAGAACCCAAGAGCATTTCGCTGGACGTCGACCTTAGTGGAATGAATTGCTTGTATTAAATTTCGTCTAAGAAATCAGGGTATACGACACAGGGAGTCATCTTCTATAATAACAATGAGTCCAGGAGTTTCTTCCAAAACAGAAAGGATGACTATTGAATATCCGTATTCCCTCGCTCTTTTACCTCAGTCTCTTACGCACACAGGTTGAGAATCACTCGACTGGTAGGATGGAATGTGAATACAGGATTGGCACATGCGCAAGGTGGCGCAAGTAAATTGGGATGGTGATGGAGCAAAAAACAGAGTGGACGCTGGAAGGTAGACGTGCTCGGTGTTGAGTGAGAGTGGTCAGGCCTCTGGCATTTTCATTTGCTTGCTTTTAAGTCTATTCAATCTAAGTTTTTTAGGTCTATGCTTTTAAACCATAAAACAGCCCTACATTTTCCTTCTCCTATCTAAATATGTAATAATGAAGCAATGATGCGCGAAAGTATAACATGTGAATTTATTTATGGCTTATATTTTGTCGGTAGTACTTTTAAGTAGAGATCTTGACAGAAATTAGTAGGCGCCACTTTGGTAGCAATGTGGTATAATAAAGCGTGGATGCATGTTTTCGGCTTTTTTAAATTTATTTTACCAATATACTTTTTAAAAACTAAATGACAGTACAATCCGAAAAAATGTTGGTGATGTTAGCAACAGAAAGGGATCTCATCGGGATGTTTATGCGTCAAAACTACTTAAGGCAAAATATGCAATTTGTCGGTGAAGATTTTTACTTTTCCAGGATATTTTTTTTGCCGTTAATTCGACTATTACTTCGCATGACGGGACCATTTATGAAATGGGCCAGTAACATGGCGTCTCCCACTCACTTCATGCGCATGAATCACGAATAGAGGTATTCGTTGGAGGTCAGCTTTCATCATGGCACTCATCACAGATTGGCTTCTTTCCTGCTGTGGAAGTAATGAGAACTTTAGCTTGTACAGCGAATCTAAGTCCCCGTAATTCACAGGTTTCAACTTCGCCGACATAATTTGCTGGTGTCGTAGTTAGAAGGTGTGACTGAGTTATTTTTCAAGTTGATTTACAAGGCGATATGCTTCTAACGTTCAGGACTACAAGACCAAAAAGGCCATTAAAGTAATTTCCTTGGGTTGTCTGTGTCGTCATAATCAAACGAGAATGGAAATGCTTTGGTGCTTCTGGTCGGCGTTTTCGCGGATGGTCACGTTCTCGGTGCTGGCTTGGGCAGGCGTCCAGCTCTTCCATCAGATGAGGAGGCTCCTCGTCCACGCCTTTGCTCCGTACCCCCTTTTCCCCTCCTTTGGTGCTTGGGCAGGTAAGACTCCAAATTATACAGGGGTGTGTCATAGAAGATGGGCACGTTTGAAATTTATGGGAAATTATTGTTTGCTGATACTTCTCTCTTATTTACTGGTTTTAATATTCTTCAAGATTTGGAATTTTATCTGTCGTGGATCAAAAGGAATTTCCTCATCATACGAACATATTCGAACTGTCTTTTTTGTGAAAAGGCTTCATTGTGCAAGCGCAATGTGAATCCAAAGGTGCGTTGAGCTTCTTCTGTCCCTCTCTCTCTTGACTCACTTCGAACCTCACGTTGAGCTGGCACAATGGAGCCTTTGCGAAAAAAAAAACTTCCATAATTTTCATATGGTAAGTAAACTCCCTTTGATCCATGACAGATAAAATTCCAAACCTTGAAGAATATTAAAACCTGTAAATAAAGGAGAAATATCTGTAAGCAATAATTTTTCGTAGATTTCATGTGTCCGTCTTCTCTGACACATCCTGTACTTCCACGTTAGAATTTACTTTCATGCGCTTTTCTCCTCGCAAATGCCATAAGCAAAGTCAGGTTTCTAGTTCATAGCACGATCAGATGGCGGACATGATGTGGATTAATCTCTAAGGATGACTTCCTTTGCTTATCCTTGGGCTGCAACGTGCATGCTTTCAGGTTCTTAGAAAGAATTTTAAAAAAGCCAAGCACGTAAGTTGTATGTTTATGAGATTATTGGAACCAGTGTCGAGAAAAGTCATGCGTGAAAGCATAGGGCATTGCGAAAACCACATCACACCTGCAAACCAGTACATCCTTTGTCGACTTGGAACTTTGTTTCTTGTAACATAGATTTCCGTAGGGTAGAATGTGTATTTTTGTGTGTTACACGAAACCCTTGTTTCCTATGGTGAGGAATTTTTAGACTTGCTTTTTATGTCTTGAAAAATAGTTTATGGTTTCACAAAATGAAATAAAATACAAGTTCAAGTTGAATAATTTCGTATGAGCGCGCCATAGTCTAGGTATTGGTACAAACAGCAGCGAAAAGTACTATCTGATAAAACTCTGAATAATCCTATATTTGAGACTCGCTCTAGACTCATTCTCTCTCTCACCGGGAGTCTCGCAACTCCACAGTAATGCAGGAAATGTGACTTTATCATTTTTTATAATCACTATATGATTCACTTGCCCCAAATTCATTGACATACGCTGTCACGCCCCTTTCCGTTCTCAGTGATAACGGGATGCACGGACGGGATCGGGCTCAGCTACGCCAAGGAGGTGAGGTCCTCGCAGCCACACTCGACCCGACGGCCCTGCCATTCTTTTGAAGAAAATTCAAATCCATGCGCTCTTTTGTTCCCGTAGTTGGCCCGGCGAGGAATGAAAATCGTCTTGATCAGCAGGAATCCTGAGAAGCTCGAGGCAGTGGCTTGGCAAATAAGTAAGGCTTTAATTCCAGCAACCTTTCATTATGCTTAAATGTGCATGTCGGACATTATAACAATTTAATTTCTTGCTTTTGTGACCGCAGTTCCGCAGGTTTCATTTCTAAGCTGTTGATGTTTTTTAGTAAGGCTTTAATTCCAGCAACCTTTCATTATGCTTAAATGTGCATGTCGGACATTATAACAATTTAATTTCTTGCTTTTGTGACCGCAGTTCCGTAGGTTTCATTTCTAAGCTGTTGATGTTTTTTCCCGCTGTTTACTTCATATAACCTCGGGGAAGGAATACGATTTGCTTAGGTTACGGTAGGCCTTATTAGTTTCTTAAGTAGTGCTAGAAACATTGTCCACAAATTCGATATTTCTATTTTCATTCTCTTCGAATTCAATGCCTTCTTTAAACTGAATTATTATAAATCTGCAATCTCTCCCTGTTATTTCCCATCAGAAAAGGAATTTAGCGTGGAGACCCTCGTTGTTCAAGCCGACTTCAGGAAGCTGGACATCTACGAGGGGATAAAGGAGAAGCTGGCGGGCCTGGACGTCGGGGTCCTCGTGAACAACGTGGGGATTACAACGGATATTCAGTCGTTTCTGGATGTCCCCGAGGGAGATAAGGCGTACCAGGACTTGATCCTGGTCAACAACATGTCCCTGGTCCGAATGACCCACATGGTCCTCCCTGGGATGGTCGAGAAGGGAAAGGGGATCATCATCAATGTCTCCTCCCTTTCTGCTGTCTCCCCGATTCCTCTCATTGCAACCTACGCTGCAACAAAGGTATATTCATGACATCTTCATTTTTTGAAAGAAACCACCGAAGGTTTCACCTGTTCAATTATGCTGTATTGAAGGCGTCTGCACCTGGACCCTCTATTAAGCTCATACACTTATTTTTCTTATGAGAACGCAAATGTGCGAATTCGTCGAGTAAGTATATGTTAATCATTTCTTTGGTTGGGCAATGTTTCCCATCCGAAATGCGTTGTAAATAGAATTTCAGACTTCTTGGGCTCTGTTCAGATTGAGTAGTTGGACGAGAGAGGCGTTCGTTTCATAAGTGATGCCCTCAGTCTCACTTGAAAAGTTAAACTTCCACTAAGGATAGTAGGATAAGATCGGGAATCCAGGCAGAAAAGTCAATCATAGGTCTTCATTCCAGGCCTTTGTTGACAGCTTCTCTCGGAGTCTTGCCTGGGAGTACAAAAGCAAAGGAATTCATGTCCACCTCGTCGGCCCTGGGTGAGTCTTCTTCGTTCACATAAATGCTAATAAGCTTCTGTTCCATTCCTTTCTGACGAAGGTGCTAGGAATTTTGCTAAATATACAGGTAAGCTCCTAGTTAGACCTAGAGAGTTCATAGTGACTAACTCTTCCTCGTTCTTTGCTGCCATCAGAGTGATTTCTATCCAGGTTTTAAATAAGCCATGCAGCTTCTAATTTGACTCGTAGGTTCGTGTACACGAAGAAAACTGATCAATTGTTGGATCGGCCGAGTTTGGGAGCACCGACTCCCGATACCTTCGTCAGATCCGATCTGCGCTCCATCACGAAAATCCAAGTTACCTCTGGTTATTGGCTTCATAACCTCCAGGTGAGACCTAAGATAGAATCGATCATTGAACATGCGCTTCTACAAGGCAACTACTTTTTAAAAGTGTTTTCCGTGGCATCATGTTATTGCGAAACAAAAAATATATTTTGTACCGGTGGGCAAGAACAGGGTTTCTGCGCTCCCAGAATGAATTAAATGAAAAGAAAAAGGAAGAAACACTCGAGCTCTCGAAAAGTCATTCTCGTTCTGCCGACGTCGGCTAGTGGAATTTGGTTTATGACGTTCAATGTGCCAATAATAAAAATGTAGAGGCATGTTTTATGTTATTGAAGTGAAACTTTTTATTTTCAGAGAGATGCTGCCTGTTTCGTGAATTACGTCTCGCCCGCATTCGCAACGAGTCTGGGCTGGTGGGGCATGAAATTCGTCCTGGAAAAGTCCAAGCAGAGATCGGAGAAACGCAAGAAACAATGACGGGATTCCCCGACGATGCAGTCCTTTCATTGGGCGCCGCTTTTCCCGGGCTTGTACACGACTGGGATCTTGTTTGGCAGAGGTCGTCATTCAACGGAGGAATGTAGTAGAATGAATTGTCGGAGCAGAATTATTTCTTCGGAATTGAATGCCACACATGATTTTAGTTTTCCAACAAAGTCTCACGACACTATAACCTTCTCACTTTGTTTCCTTGAGCTTTATTCTGCAGGATTCTTTTGCATTCGTCCTGCACTTTCCATCAAGATTGATGACCGTCACATCAGATTCCATTTCAACTTAGTTATTGTAGGAAGGAGACGAACCTGGAGAGATTAGGAAATTCTAGATTCTTTTCAGTTGGAACTTGGTTTCTTTGTCGCATCCCTATCAGACGTGAAGATGCGACGATGCGTCGGAATCCCGGGCTGCCTGATAGAAATGCTATAAAATGCTTTGGTGAGCTCTTTTCCCACATTCCCTCAGCTTCGGAGCTCCAATGACGGCCTTCGCAACCTAGGAATGTGAAACGCAAGGATTCGGCCTTGAATTGATCTAAATACAGCATGGCCTGCACGTGCTCTAGACCTGTGGTCTCCAACGATTTTAGGTTGGAATTCGCAGATGCTCACCTGTCAACCGACGATTTACCTTGTGATGTCCTTGCACCAAGGCTGAAGGACGATTGAAGTAGACTGAGAGGAGTGAAAGACTGGCGGGTTAGAAAGCGAGGAAAGTCGTTTCAATGTGGGTTGTATGGGAAGGTGCTGAAACGTGCTTAATATTGAAAGGTGCAAGGCAGACTTGGTGCCGTTTATGCCCCCTCTTTTGGTTACTCGACGCTTAATCGTGTCAAAAACTTTTATCTCATCATTAGTTTCCATTTCCACCGTCGCTAGATGATGATGTGCATGTCACTGGGTGACATGCACCACATCGGTTTAGGAGCTAAACTGATCTGATTCTAGGCAAATATGTTTAAGAATGAGTTGAACTCATTGTTAAACGGTTTTGTGTTCCCCCCCCCCCCTCCCCACCGTAATTTCCAGTGGCTCTTTTTTCCCCAACAGGTGCAATATTTTCTTAAAGGGGCCACACGATTTATCAAGTTTCGGTCAGCACGAAGGTCAGTCCAGAGGTCCAAAGGTCAGCCGTTTGTTCAACTCTCAAAATATGACAGAGCACTATTTTTTCTATGAATGCATTGATAAATGCGATCGCGGCTAGTTGGATCTTTAAATGCAAGTCGCAATCGTGCCCTTGCAGCAGCCTAAAGGTTAAGGATGAATTTTCTTTCAGTCATTCCGCTAATTATGATTCCTGCAGTTCATCATACGACCTTGAAACTCGAAAACATTTCATGGTACACTCCTACGAATTTGCTTACCAAAATGTCAAGATCGCCCAAACTCCTTCGCACTTTTTTCAGCGATGAGTGCACGATCGTTCCGATGCTTTTGCCTCCTCGCAATGATATGAGATCACCTTTCTTCACCTTTTTTTTGGAGCGACTCATTCGCGGTCGGGGTCTCCACCGAACCTGGGAGCGTGCAGCCGTGCTTCGCGGAGGGCGTTGTCTCATCCTCGCTCATTGGTCTGTGCGCGCCTGCAGTCGCGCAGGAATCGCCGTGCGTCGTGCAGTTCACAGTGGTGTCGCTCGTGGAATCCTCCAGTGGCCCTGCGGTCTGAGGGGTCCTCGCAGTCTTCTTTTGATCCTTCGTCGGAGAAGCTGGTCTCGCTCGACCTTGACATTGTTTGCGTCTCCCCCTCGAAGCTATTATCTCGAGTGCAGCTCGCTACCTCTCAGGCTCACTCTCGCTCCCCCTCCCCTTCGCACCAGGAGTTCTACGGTGGTGCTGTCTCGACATAATGTGCGTTTCCCGTTCAAGATTTTTCTGGATGGTAGCATGGCCATTCCCAAAATCAATTTTAGTTTTCCTGGGTTTTAGACTGATCAACCAATCATTCCTCACCTCAGGAATTAGATCGATATTTTCTATTTAACTAACCTTCTCAGGCAGCGCACCGTGTTGAGCCCATGTTGGCTGTGCATTGGAATGCTTGGGCCGATTCAAACCATTTCGGCCCATTGGCGTTTGTGCTGCAGCCATCTGTCCTAGGGGCTGGCCCGCCATCTAGCGCAGTTACTCTAACAAACAGGGTTTCCCGAAATTATGCGAGATGGCGCTTAAAACCTTGACTCCCGAGTGCATCGCCGGTCCTACATTTTGCATGTTAAAATTTCTGTTCGGCAACCGACGTGTTAAGTAGCCGATGCAGCGAATACTTTAGTGCCACTGAAATAAGTTCCCAGTACTCTTCATGCGGTACAAGATCATTTCACTCAGACGACTCGGGCCAGAAAGCCGGAGGTCCAGGTTCGAATCCGATCGACGGCAGTTCACCCAGTTGCTTTCGTATGCCATCTGCTCTCCCTTGGGCTGAAGCATTGGCGATTCCATGCCTCAGTAGCTCCCGCCAGCAAAGGAAGTCCGATTGGGATCCCCTTCCTTTAGTATTTTCTTTGTGCGTGTCCGTCCCGTAAAAGAAAGAATTAGTAGACGCTAGAATTTCTCAAGACATTCGTTGAAATACGTGCATGAACCAGCTCAGGCGGACTACTGGGTTGAATCTGCATGGAGGAGGGATAGATTCAAGAAGAACTCATTAAGTATCTTTTCACTCTCGGCAAAATCTCGCCAGAACCTTTTGACCAGGCCTTTTGACGAAGCATGTCTCTATGAAGCAGGAGAGAAGCAGAACTCAGAACTTCGTTCCCACGAAATCGGGTGAGCAGAGAGAAGCTTGCAATTGCCTCATCCTTTTCCTTCATAGTCTCCAGTATTTTCATTTTCCTTCATATATTGAAAGCCATCGATGCCGCACATAGCTGTTTCACCTAACTTACCATACCATCATTAAGTTACTCGTTACCTACGATGCTTAAAGTCCCCATTTTTATTTGGTGTATGACTTCAAACATGTTAAACTCTTCTCCGGCATCTTATTTAGCATGAGATCGATCACAATGCTGGGAAAGTACCATCCTGTTTGTAATTACTGCATATTTTCGAGATTCAAGATAGTGATATCAAGAGGCGATTTCACCCATTTCGATATCACGTGTCGAGGTCGAGCGTTCCGTAATTTTAGGGTAGGCCTAAACCTCTTAAAGCAATTTTTTTGTTATTTGCCTATCCTAGTTGCTTACTGTCTAGTACCTAACGTCAACGTTAACGGCTGCAACGTCTTGATGAGTCCGCTGAAGTTAGGAGCGTCATATTTAAAAAGCAGTTCTTGAATCAAAAACGGACAACAAAGGTTTCCTACGTGCTCCAACATGCGATCCTTCATTCCACCAGTAAAGGAGCTATGTCGCCTCGGGTCCTCTTCCCCTCCTTTTATATTCACGCCAAAAAAGTCCCCATCTGCCAAGACAGGCCTGGCATTCTCGTACTCGCACAGTTTAAGAATTGCCAATTTGAATGCATGTGGTGGCAGGCGGCAGGCGGTGAGACCAGGGTGACGCACGACCTGCTCACGACTTTGGGAGCAGAGCAAAGGAAAATACAGACAGAAATCAAATAGCAGCACCATAGTGTGCACTTAGATATGTTAATGTGCAATTGAGAGTGCCCAGATATTAGCGTATTTCTTGATTTTAGGCCTACGGAACGTCTCAGTTCAACAGGTCTATGCTTTTTTTTTCCAGAAAGACGTAACTTGCTAAATACTTTTTTTTGTCACCACCTTTTCTATAGACAATTTAATTTTTAAAAATTTAAATTATCATACAGGGTGGTGCAAAAGTTACTTGCCCCGAATACCTGAGAAACGAATGCTAAGCGAATTTAAATTCCTAAAACGTGGGACAATGGGCCGATCTCTGGGGCGAGGTAGGGACAGAGAGGGAATATGAGTATTTTTTTAATGACAAAAAGTTACTGATTGTTTTATGGAAAAGCATGTCCGAACAAACCTTACTAATGTAACACGCTATGGACAAAAAAAAAAACTTTCACGTGATCACGTCGAAATGAAAACGTTTTTGAGCATTAACTGAGAAAATCGAGAATTAAAATTGCAGTTCCCCCCCCCCAATTATGTTGACACTGTTTCACTTTACTAGGTAAAAGTGCATATTTTAACATTTTAAATTCAATATTCTGTATTTTAACGGGTAAACGGGAGTATTTATATTCATGGTAACGTATTTACTCGTACATATCTTACTCATGGATCGCTGAAAGAGTCTTGAGTGCACTGCATTTTTCAGCAACGACAGCCTGTGAAAGCGATGTGAACTTCAGCCTTTGCCTCCGATCCAAGACGCAGTTGACCATTCCCAGTTTCCTTCGCCTTTTCCGATATAATGTCTATTGATTATGAATCTTTTACGCGAATCCATAAATGCAGTAGTCATTTTCCTCAACATATTTCAAGACAGCATACCTTTCGCGTCCAAGACAGCAATGTGTCTACTGCATGAATACATTTTCCCAGTGTGTCTCGAAGTGAAAGATTTCATACAAGGATACATTGGTACAAGGATGGACGGATGGTGCCTCTGGTCCGTACTCTCGTGGATAGTCACGCTCTCGGTGTTGGCTTGGGTAGGCGTCCAGCTCATCCACCTGACGAGGAGGCTCTTCATCCACGCCTTCGCCGCTTACCCTCCTTTCACCTCCTATGGCGCCTGGGCAGGTGAGAGACTCTAAATAGTCCCTCTATATTAGAAGTTTCGCATCATTGGTTCGTACAATGAGCAGAGTGGGTACGGATACCTTTATGCTTTTCCTCATGGATTCCTCTAGCAAAAACAAGTTTCTTGTTCATCACTCAAACGGCAGACATTAACTGCATTCCTCTGCATGTCCCGCACGTGACTTTCTTCCTTTTACCAGGAGCCTTCATGAACAGTTTCTCAGATTCTAAGAGAGGATTTAAAAAAAGCAATCGACGCAAGTGATAGGTTTCCTGCATTATGGGAACCTGTCACGAGGATAGTCATGCGCTAGCGTACCGGACGCGGCAAAAAATATACCCCACCTATGAACCAGTATATACAATGTAACTAACTTTGTTTTCGTGAAACTTGCATTGCGGATGGACTGATGCCAGCGGATTTTGACATGTCGTCGAAATCCGTTCTGCCTAACCAAGGTTTAGAGAGATTATTAAAAATGAGTTGGACTTCAATGGGGATAAGGAACTGCAGTCCCTTCAGGGTCAATACTCGTACGAAAAAATTCTATAGGATCTAAAGAGATTTTCGAAACATAAGAATCTCATAGAATTCTAATAGGATTCTTGTAGATAGCTGATAAAATCCTATAATAAACCTTAAGAATCCTTTAAGGACATTAATGGATTCTCATAAGACTGCTATACGGTTTTCATATTTCAAAAACCTCATACGACCCTATAGGATTTTTTTCCCTTATGGGTAGACTCCGGAAACGGGGAGAATATCCAAAGAAATAAAGTAAACTCTACTGCATTGATGGCAATTGCTCCATCATTTATTTACTGGAAAAGCCTTATCAAACCATATCAAGGAAAAGAAAAACAAGCAAAAAGGAAAAAATTCCAATAGAAGCAATGTTCAAAATTACCCTGGATAGTTTGCAACCATGGCGCAATGGCATTTCTTCCAAGGAAGAATAATGACACTACCTGTCTGTGATCAATATGAATCACCCTGATGAAGAGTCGCTCGTAATATTTCTTTGACACAACGTATTTTAATCGAATTTCAAAGGCCTTAGAAAGTCATATCAGTCACAAAGAAAGCTTCTTAAAAATAGCTCCAAAGGGTTCAAATTGTTATTGAAGGAATAACAATTGCTTGTTTTTTTTTGCATATAATGTATAATGGAGGGGTATACACGAATTTTCTCTCGCATGAGAAAATCTGTTTCCCTCATCATTTCAGAGGCCAAGTGAAAACTATGTGTTAACTTTGAACTTCAATATAAGCTCTGCAATGCAATAAAACTTTGTCTTCCAGGAACAATTGAGAACATCAGAGAATTAACGCAAGAAAAATTATTAGTGAATAGTGAAATTGCTGTTGTATTTTTCATATTTCTCTTTTTACAAACCACTATGAATGGGAAATTCGACAGAACCGCACCCTGTTATCAAATTGATGAAAGTGAATATACTCGTTGACCAGAATTTTGAAATGTTCGTTGTCACACTTCTTTCTATCTCCAGTGGTGACGGGATGCACGGACGGAATCGGGCTCAGTTATGCCAAGGAAGTGAGTTCCTCGACGTCAGATACAACCAAAAACCTTTCATTCCCATGACAAAAGAAATTAGATGTGTATGTTTTGTTCTTACAGTTGGCCAGGCATGGAATGAAAATCGCTTTAATCAGCAGAAACCCTGATAAGCTCGAGACAGTGGCTTGGCAAATAGGTAAGAATCTGTCGTGATGAAGAAAACGTCCTTTATTTTAAAATATTGGCATGTAAGTTTTTTTTCCCGTTTACGAGTTTGTGTCTGTCTCTCCCCAGGTTTCCCTTACAATAATCTAATCTGTTTTCTAGTGATGCCCTTAGTACGAAGGAGGTCAAATGAAAGTCGGACAGGCTTTCTTTTGCCTTGCTTCATAGACCTTAACTCAGAGTCCTTCCCAGAGCATTGAGCCACAGATCCTACAGACACATAGGATGCTTTAATTCTATCTGGGGAAAAAAAACTGACATCTCTGGAGTGCTTCTGGTATGCTCCAATTAGTCATCCTTTCGAAACCGCTTCCTCCTTGAAGCCCGTTTCGTGTGGCAAAGAGTGTGATAGCAAACAGCGCTACTAGGAGTGTGGCGTAGACTGTAAGAAGGGTGCATGAGAATTTACAAATAAAACATTGGCTAACGGTGTTCGCAGCCGCTACACCTATGCTTGGTTATGATTATTATGAAATATGACATGAAGTGATCTGTCAATTGCCTGGAAAGCTTCTTCCAAGGGCAGGAGTCAGTTCCTTTACGCACAACAGAGTAATACAGACTGTCTGCACCGTATGCAGTGGCCATTCTCCGCCAGATCTACCATGATCGAGTCTCTTCAGCCATCAAGAAGTTCATAACACTCTGCTGAAAATCATTGAACACCTCCTCCATGCGGAACTTGTTCAAGGCGTTGCAACAGTAGTGACCGAACTACATACCACGTATTTCATTATCTTTACGTATACCTGGACGTCTACAAGGGGAACAGACGTAATAAGAATGAAATTTATTCTAACAGGATAATGGTACTAAATTCTGTCAATGCAGTTCCCTTTAAAAGTAATAAGCATCAATTGTTTTCTGATAGGAACTCATGATAGTATAATTTTCTGAAAATTCCGAAATTTCTACTTTCGTTGCCTGCACTTTTTATGCCACTTTTTATGGATCATTATGCATAAATACAGTTCAGTCACATACTGTGAAAATCTTTTATCAGAGAAGGAATTTGGCGTTGAGACCAAAGTGATTCAAGCCGACTTCACGAAGCTAGACATCTACGAGGGGATAAAGGAGAAGTTGGCGGGCCTGGACATCGGGATCCTCGTGAACAACGTGGGAATGGCAACGAGAATCAGCCCGTTCCTAGATGTCCCGGATGGAGAGAAGACATATCAGGACGTACTCCTAGTCAACAACATGTCAATGGTGCGGATGACCCACATGGTCCTCCCTGGGATGGTCGAGAAGAGAAAGGGGATCATCATCAACGTCTCCTCAATTTCAGACGTCTCCCCGGTTCCTCTCCTGACAACTTACTCGGCAACAAAGGTAATATCAGTGTGAACACATCTCAACCCTTACGGAAATGTCCTATAGGAAACCTATAGGATCCTTTAGAATCCTATAGGATTCCTATAGGGTCTTATAGGTCTCCTGACCTATATAATTCGGGGAAGATATTTTGGGTTTCGAAACCCAGGCATTACGACGGAAAAGGCGACCTGGGTTTATATTGGCGCAGCATTTCGGTGTAAATAAAAAACCGATTAGGGGTTTTCCCATGGTAGGGACACATTCATTACTAAATACCAGTACTGCGGGGGTCTGCATAATTTACGGCCCCGCCCCACATGTATCGCTGCATAGCACGTCTACTTCCTGCGAGCACGTCTCTTTACTAAGACTCTACACAGTTTCGTACGTGGTTTTCAAAAGGAATAAGGGCATATTTCTTCACGGGACTCCATGATTATATCTGGAAGATGGGGATGACAAATAAGGAACTGTCAAAGTTTATTGATTGCTACAATGAGGCAAGGCGAGACATTTGGGGACGTACAAAACTCTCTTGTGAGAGATGATTCCTTGGGTAAGGGGAGGGCACTTTTGTGCCCTTTGAGAAACGTGAGAACCCAATACTTCCATCTAGTGGCCTTGAGGAGAACTTCAAACAGAACCCTATAGGTCAATAGGGTTCCGTGTATGCCCTATAGGGAACCCTATAGGTCATATAGGGTTCCGTATAGGCACTATAGGGAACCCTACAGGTCCTATACGCAACCCTTGGGGTCCTATAGGGAACCTATAGGCCTTATGGGGAATCCTATAGGTTCTATAGGGGGATCTATAGGTTCTATAGGGAACTCTATAGGTCCCAAACTGAACTCTATGGGGCATATAGGATCCTATAGGATTCCTTTAGGTTCCTATTGGATAGGAATCCTATAAGACATTTTCGTAAGGGAGGCTTCCATCTAGCATCTCAGCTACTTCCATCGCCCAATATGCCTAGAAAGTAATTACTTTTAACAGAAAAACCCGAAGAGTCACATCGGTCATAGTTTACTTTTTTACCGACTGCCTCAGTACAATGAAAAGCTAAACTTTTATTTAATATAGCTGCATTCGTAAGAGAACGGAGGAAAGCAAGTGATCGTACTCTCTCCTTTCCAGGCATTCATATACAGCTTTTCGCGGGGTCTCGCCTACGAATACAAAAGCAAAGGGATTCTTGTCCACCACGTCGACCCTTGGTGAGCTTTATTCGTTGATAGATATGCACGTATGTCTGTTCGAAAGTCGTCACGAAATGAACTCTGCAAAAAATTTCCCGGTCAGAGCTGGAAGAGTACCACAGCTAACCACCCAGTCACTACATTTTTGCTGTCGCTGTGAATTTTTTCCCCTTATAAATGGACAGAGCAGCTCATAATTTTGGTATGCAGGTACGTGTACACGAAGATGATGAATAAATTGGTTCACCGGCCGGGTTTGATGGCTCCGACTCCGGATATCTTCGTCCGGGCCGACCTCCGCTCTATAACCAAAGTCCAAGTTACTTCTGGTTATTGGCTTCATAACTTCATGGTAAGACCTAAGATAGAATCGGTCTTTCTTCCTGATATGACTTTTTGCTCACGGCGAATTTATTTTCAAGTGCTTCATATTACTGTATATCTCGTCCTTCAGAAGCGAAACTGAATCATTTTCTCCATTCAAATTTGTGAAATCGTTTCGAATGTAGAGAAGTATATGGTCATTGGAAAAAAAATTAAGACAACGGAAAAAAGACTCGAGCTTCGGATAAGGTATGTTATCAGCGGAGTTTCGGTGAGTCGAGAAACAGGAAAAATGTGAGGAGGCCGGACAAAAGTAAGAAAATTGTTCCTATTGTTGAGGGGGAGGCATCCGTCACGGAAACAGTAGGAGGAAAAGTCAGTCATGAAGCACATCTATTCTGGGACAATGGGCCAACCTCAAGAGAAGGGTTTTTCTTGGAAATGTATATTTCCAAGTAACTCACAGATTTCTCGTTCGATAAAGGAGAAGCTATGTGAACAGAGCGACTCATTCCTAAAACTTATTAGGATCGACATTGCGCATAGATGACAAAGAATCCCCAAAGGATTATAAGGCTTCTGTATTACATCCGAATTTCATGCAAGCCATTCTCTCTCAGCCCAAGATGTCCTCAATTTATACATTTTTTGCATTGCACATTTACAAACTATTTTACAGATTATGTCTCCCTCTGGTGCAACTCGTTTACTTTTTCACCAAAAGCCATTTCATTAGTGCCAGAGCTGTCAGTGCTTGCGACCCCCAAAAGAATCATACCCTGAAGATAAGAGAAGGCCATCGGTATCTTGCTTCCTGAAGTCTGGTCGGCAAAAACGGGTGGATGAGTTGCGAAGAGGGAGAGAACCTCTGTTAGCTTTTCTCTCGAAAGATGGGGAAGTGCTGGTGTCTGAGGGATCTGCCGACCCATATCCTCCTCAGACCGAGAAAAAATGATACCCAGGGAATTCAGTGCGTGTACGTGACACCCAGGTCATAGGATGTCGCACTGCAGGAAAGCAAAAAGACTGCAGAAAAGTGCGCACGTGGGTGGTACGAGTATTGAAGCTTCTTTGTGATAATCGGTTCAGCAATCGCTTAGCGGTAAACCTTTCTGCAACATAATCTCGATATGTGCTCATGATGGAATTAAGAAAACATTCTGATACAATCACGCACTCCCAAACACAGAACTAATATAAGAAAAATACAGTACAATCATTTGAAAAATAGTACTTATACACAGGGAACATTCGTACTTACCAAAGGTAACTGAGAGGGGAAACGTTACTCCCATGAAAATCTTGCAAGTGCTGTGAGTGCCATTAATGAACAGAAAAATGACGTAAAACTGCTATGGTGTTATGAGAGCATCATCCAGATGCTCCTGTCGAAGCGTCGTTTAGAAGTCCAATAAAAGTTCCTAGGTTATGATATGCGAGTTTAACCCTTTCAGACCCTGCGTCCACTCCAATGGACATCGCATTTTCATTGTTTCAATGGTAACTTCTTAGGATTCATGCGACTTTGCGCCCCATATTACACTACGACGATGCAATTATGCATGGCACAATTCTGTCAGAGGCCTTCTCTCACCCCTCAGTTATGCAATCTTCAGGCATGTAATTACATTTATAATATATAATATAATGGTAAATTCATACAAAATATAACAACTATATACAGAACATACAAATTTAAAGTAGAATAGGAAAAGATCTCAAAAATGCAAATAGGTATATTATTTCGATGGGGTCTTAAGTCAGTTCTGAAAGGGTTAAGGTTTCTCTTTGTTGATAGGTGTGAAAAGCATGAATTTCATTGATGTTCCTCATAAGCAAACAGGATTGCAGATTTCTGAACTGGTTTTGAAGAAAAGAAATTGAGGGAGAAAGAAAGAAAGTGAAAGGAAAGAGATTAATGCAAGGGGGGTGGATGAGTGAAATTTATTTCCTCTTTTTATTCCCAAAGGAAGAGAATAACTTCAGGCTTAAAATTCAGCAGAGTATGGGTGCTGGTTCGGCACTATACGCTCTTATTGCCTCATTTTCAGAACATATTAGCTAAAAAATTTCCTAGATTCATCTACGTTTTGTGGAGAGCACTTACAGTCGCCTCTTTTGCTCCTCAGTACCATCAGACGGCACTTGTGCAGGAATGTTACTTTTGTCCTATGGTATGTTACTTTTACCCCATCACACGGGGCAAAAGTAACTTGCAACAAGGCTTTAAAAAAGCATGATTCCGGAGGTTCCAATACAGATTCAAATTCTGGAAGTCATTGGAATCTCTTGGTCACTGTTTGAAGGGGGTAGAAATCAATTTTGTGACATTTTTTTCTATCATCCTGCAAAGTGCAATTATGTGTTTTTCAGGTTACTTTTACCCCACCTCACCCTGTGTTAAAATGGTACTTTCAGAAAGCGAACCTTTCCTCTGACTATCTTTAAAATAAATTGTATTTTCTTGCCTACCAGATATTATAAGAGAAAGTGTATTGGAAAGTGTTTAGTGTTCACTCAGTAGGACGCAGAAGAAGATGATGACAAACCATGTTCGAGCGGAACTCCAGAAGTGCTACATCATTGTAGTTGAAACTTTGAGATATCGAAATAATTTGTTGTTTCTAAAACTGTTTAAATTCTGTTTAAGGTCACTCGTGCTCATAAAAATAATAAAATAAATGTGGCATTTAGAGTGACGAAATTGAAAATTTTTCCTTTTCAGAGGGAGGCCGCTCGTTTCATGGATTTCATCGCGCCCACAGCAGCGACGAATATGGTCGGGTGGACCATAAAAAATGTTCTGGAAAGGGCGATGCAGAAACGGGCGAAACTCAAGAAGCAAAAAGCGGATGCCAAGACGGCTTAGTCTTCCCATCAGAAGTGACACGCATGAGCTCCCCTCCGGTACTCGCATCTGACTTGGTCGGGTGATATCCGATGTCGCCTGGACCTGTACATCGGCGGGATCCCGATTGGCTAGGACAGGTGTCGTCATTTGTTGCAGGAGTTTTTAAAGAATGGAAATGGTACCTCGTTCTGTTTCCGGTATTGCATGTTCTGCGTCTTACTTTATCTTGTCTTTTGTATAATGTTTTTTTTTTTTCCAATGAAGCCTTCATGTTCTGTCACGTTTTCCGTTCGTTTATATTAAAAATGTATTTCCTATTTCATTCCGTTACATTTTATCCTGCTGTTTTCGTCTGAATTCTCATACAATCGATCATCCTTTGCAGTGTAATCGTAAATCAGCAGTCTACTTTATCGGAGCAAGATCCGGATGCCCAAAATAGGGTTGTTTTCAAGGAATCCTGATACTTACTTTGTTCGCAACCTTTGAAAGGACTATTGGATGCAGCTTATGTTTGACAATGAGATGTACGGTCCCGAAATATTTTTTCGAAATATTTTCCCAGAGATGGCATTTAACCGCCGATTCGGCGCTTCTTACCCTGGTGCCCTGAAATAAACAGTACCCTGTATTATTCATACAGTACCCGATCTTTTCCTGTGTACATATTAAGGGAAAGCATAGGAATGTCTAGATACACCTGTTTAAGGAGGTAACCCGGCAGGAGGAGACTGACACTACTTTCGGCCAGTGGGTACGAGGAGACATCCTCAATTTTCCCGAATCCCCACGTGACATCCACATTACACACAATAATAAATAAAATATCAATACTTTATTTCCGAAAGATTGTGTGTCTCTCTGGAGTCGCACGTCGACTCGGGACCCACTAAGCACGTGTAAACCTCTTTGGCGCCCTCTCTGTGTCTTGAGGACCGAAGTTTTATTCAGTGATAATTTGTCGTCGGGATTGATCGCGCCTGGAACTTCGAAAGGATAAAAGAATCGGCCACGGTCGCCCTCCGACAGTTCACGGATATATCAAGAAAAATTTTAATCTCGCTCGAAAGTGGTGCTCTTCCTATTCGCGGCGGTGGGATCTCGAAAACTGTAATTTTCATGCTAAATTTATTTTACTTTTTGAGGTCAAGCAACTTCACCCATCCGTTGTGGAATTTCCAGGGGCTCGTTTCTCAGCAATTGCAATATTTTATTATAAAAAGGGCTACACGATTTGTCAATTTTTAGTCAGCACGAAGGTCAGTCTAGAGGTCCAAAGGTCAGTCGTTGGTTCAAGTCTCAAAATATGGCAGAAAATTATCCTTTCTATTAATGTATTGATAAATGCGATCACGGCAAGTTGGATCTTAAAATGCAAGTCGTAATAGTGCCCTTGCAGCATCCTAAAGGTTGAGGATGAGTTTTCATCTACGGCCATTTGGCTCATTATGATTCCTGCGGATCATCATTTGCCCTTGAAACTCGAAAACATTTCATAGTACACTGCTGCGAATTTGCTTACTAAATTTCAAGATCGCCCGAACTCTTTGGCACTTTTTACGGCGATGAGTGCACGATCGTTCCGATGCTTTTACCTCCTCGCAATGATGTAACATCTGTCTTCACCTTTTCCTTGGAGCGACTCATTGGCGACTCCATCGAACCTGGGAGTGTGCAGCCGTGCTTCGTGGAGGGCGTCGTGTCTCATCCTCGCTCATCCGTCTGTGCGTGCCGGCAAAAATCGCCGTGCACGTGGTGTCGCTCGTGGAACCCTCCAATGGCCCCGCGGTCTGAGGAGGCCTCGCAGTCTTCCTTTGATCCTCCATTGGAGCGCCCCCACCCCAGTAGCACCAGATATTGGCTCAATGCTGGACAGACATTGGGTACGTTGGCTACGTCTTGGGCAATATTGCCAATATTGCCTGAATGTTGGGGAAACAATGAAATTCCGATATTGCTATATTATTATTCATCCAATATTGGACCGACGCGATGATCCAATGTGCCCGACCGCACTTGAAGTTACCCTTCAGGCCACTAGATGGAGGTATAGGTCTCGCCTTTCTCACAGTACACAGAAGTACCCTTCTCCCTTTCCCTGTAATTGTCCTTCACAGGAGTGTTTAGTACCTCGCTATATGTCTCGCCCAGTCTCATTATAGCAGTCAATAAAGTCGGACAATTCATCATTTGTTATCCGCATATTCGAGACAGAATCATGGAGTCCAGGAAATAATCAAGCTCATATTCCCTATGAGAGCCCCTACGAACGCGGTT